ACGCCTAAATAAAGCCAAAGGGAGTGAGAAACAGGAACATGAGTGAGGCGTGGGTTTCAGTCAAAGAAGTCGTTCGTTTGAAAGAAAAAATCATAAACATATAATATTATAAACATTTTTTTATTATTATTAATATACAATACATTGTGTTAGCGGATAACGTGTCAGTGATTAGAGAGGTCTTGTCGAATGGAGAACAAAATATAATATTCCATGTGTAGACTGCATGACTAGACATATGAATTTCTATGTAGTGTGCTAGGTTACTGGATAGGCCACGTTATAGAGATTAGCCTACCTAACCTATATGTATACACGGACTCAGGATGTGGTTAAGTGAGCGGTGACGGTTTTGCCGGTGGACTTGACGCCTTGAAATCAAAACGCAGATTTATCGAATCGGTTACCGTGGCAAAAATCCTAATAATAGTAATAATATGTTTTAAATATTCACTTTTCGGAATACTTATACCAAAACCGAAGTGGTTAATTGACCCGTCATAATACTAATAAGTAAAAAGATCTCCGGTGCATACCGTGGACCCAGGACCGTATATGTATTATAGACAAAGCGAATCTGTTCATACCTGAAACTTGTTACATCAATTATTAATAACTTGGATTGCCTCCGTCCAATCCTTTTACAACTTATATACCTAAAGCTATTAATTAATAAAAAACTGAATTTGACAAATTTACAACAAACGGGGCCGGCCAGGAAACGTTACTAAGTCATAACTGCCAAGTGCAAACGATTTCCGGCGAAATTTGCTTTTCAAGTTCAACGTGTTTTTAGATGATTTTATGACCGCTAGCATTTTTTTTTTTTTTAATACCGGAAACGTTTATCGTAATGGTTTCTCTCAAATGGATCTGTGACAAGCCAAAACGGGTAGCTGCCTATATCGAATTGCTCGACCATTATTGGGATACAACAATATTGTTTTGGGCGATTAACAAACTGTTAACAATAATTACACCAATTACAGACATCTAATCCTTAAAAAAAAATTTGCTTGAATTATCGTTAAAATTTTCAATCCGAACGTTGACATTGCGACTTGGCCGGGAGCCAGTCTTAATGCTGTCGTTCGTACAAGGGCATAGCCTTCGATGCGGTTCTAAGGGCAAAGGGGACAATGGCTGTGTGTGTGTGTGTGTATTTTTTTTTTAAACAAGTAACAGCTAAATAGTGCTAGCTAAGAGTTTTTGGAATTTTCTTGTACGATAATGATTGAAGATTGCGGTTTCTTTATATCCGACCCGGTCATCGATTTGATAAAATCAACAACGTTTTGTGCCTACTAGATAATATTAAAGGTATATCGTTTTAAGCGACTGTTGTCCAACGTTACTGAATTTGTCGCCGTCGTTTAATTTAGTATGCAAATGGACACGTGCTCCGAATGTATAAACTGTAAGTGTCAGAAAATGTAAAAAAGGTAAAAAAACTAAGTTAACTCGAACAAAACGTTACGCAAGACCTGTGCCTGTCTGATCTTTTTGTGTTGAGCCGTCCTAATCGGAGAAAGTGTAATGAGATTACACACACAGTTCTCGGTTTGAATGTATAATTTACAATATGCTCGATACCCCCCGCCCCCTGTCCACCTTCTCCTTCGACGTTAACCTAACCTGCCCGGACTGACCAACAGGTGTGGAAATTTCCCCGGGAAATTCAAACGGATTATAATACCTACTCATGTGTTTGCATTTCCTTACCGATTACGGCCCGAAACACCTGTGGATCGGGATAACGTCTGGCACGGTGCTGTTATCGATTAGCCTCGGCCAGAGGTAGGCCGGGTTTGTGGCATCAGAACTTATGGAGTACCAACTCCACAAAATCTAAAATTCAATTTGACATCATCCCCATTTGAATCGATTTTATCTATGAAAGAGGATTAGTCCAAACAAAGTTAAGATTTCATTAAAAAAAAACAGTTTTCCACTTACAATTTTACTTGAAAAAAATAATTATAAAAAATATTTCCAATTCTTACTTATTGAAAATTTGTCAAAACCCATTTTTCAAAATATGTATTTTTTAACCAATGGTAAGAGCTTTAATTGAACGAATTTGACCCTTTTTATAAACAAATAAATGTTATTTAACTCTTTTCATAAATATAATTTATAAAATAAACGGAATGCGATGTAAACCAAAACTACTTTACCAATATGTATTTTGTTTTGACTTTAAAACAAATGTAATAGATCAAATATAAAAATCATTAATAGTAACTTGGGTTTGTAAATGTTCGAATCGACGTAATAAAATCAACTATCATATGAATTTGACTCATTTGAAAAACCTAACCGATCCGTCTGTAGCCACAAAACATATTTATTTAATAAAAGTAATTTTCAACAAAATTGTGACTTATCACGTTTCATAAAATTTAAACGATTCAGTTGTGCCTACGTTTAAATTCGCAAAACGTGCAGAGCTAATTAAAATAGGCCCTATAACGGATTAGGTCGGTGTCTTGTCTTGTCTTAGTCCGGTCAAGATGGGTGGGTGGTCGTATGCCATTTGATTTATATACCTAAAAGACGAATCCATACGGTATGCCCTAGTAGCCTAGTGTCCCACATATACTCTGTTGCGCAACATAAATAGATAATAGAACTAAATGTAAATCTGTAACAAGTCTTGTCTGTAATATTATTATGTTTATATATTATAACGACATCTTTTTACCGACACGGGACAGAGATTTTCATCTAGTCCGTTTCAGAAGCATAAGTAAACCGTTCTCATATATCAAACGGGAGTTGTTGTCTTTGGCCTTTGCCGTCGCCCTCTTTCCTTAGTGCCCGTCCCCTCGCCCTAACTTTTTCCACGTGTTACTTACGTTTATATATATATACATATAAATAATATTTTTATTATCGCACGTGTCTATTTTCACATCCAAAGACAAATATTGCGTACGATTTCGATTAATTCTCGTGCCATCCGACGCGTCTCGGGGGTCGACCCTAACCCTTATACATACCTGCAATATTCGTATCCGGTCGGCATGCTCTCATGAACGATCAGCAGCGGGTGGAAGATAAAAAGAGAAACGGACATAAGAAGGTCTTATGCAATATCCAAAACGGAATTCCCCCCGCGGTTAACAAGGCGGTTTCATGGCCGCGCGGTTGACTCTCTTCTCTCTCTTACTCGTGAAATACATAATAATAATTATTATGATACATTGACCATTGACAAAATACCCGGATGCGGTGTCCGGCCCCGCGCTCGTACACGCTTTAAGTCATATTATCATGTAAACTAGGTTCTAAGGTTTTTCAGTGCGGTACTTGTCGGCCTTTCCCAAGAGTGCTGCGGATAAGTTTCGATAGGTCTGTCAAAAGTCCATTTGCAGCGCTAACGATCCTTTTGGGCGTTTAATGTCTTCGGTCGTTTACATAAATGTACAATACAATAATAGTATTATTATGTCTTCTCTCGGCGTCGAATAATACCGTACAATGTCTTAAGACGTCACGATAACGCGCCACGGCGTTTGTTGAGGTTTTAAAAAATAACAATCTTAACGTTAGAATTTTCCTTTCTCGTTTGCCCGATACGGTTGGTACAGTCACAGCGTTTGTCGTTGTGTAGCAAACCGTTTGGTCATAATATATTATGATATTGTTTTGCCCGACCTTTTTCCATCACCGGCTGATATAAAAGAACTCTCCCTTTTTTCCCTACTCGCCATTTATAAACTGCCTTTATCCTTAAACCCACCGCCCACGATCGAATTCATTCGGTCGTGGTTGTTTTTGTGGCCGTTCTGTTGACATTACACTTCCGGTAGCCCAATGCGATTTTTGAAAATATCACAAAAAAAAAAAAAAAATCATTCCCCAATATGTTGTTTGATTATATTGTAAGTATATTATAGGTTTTCATTTTTCTGACGGAGATCAGCTTTGACGGAACCGTCATTTTTAATATTACCAACATAATTTGATTATATTAAGTTTTAAATAATTAGTCAACATTTTTGGCAAATTATTCATTATATTAAATGTATACGTTACCATTTAAATTTCAAATGTTGATAAAGCTCTCAAATATAGTAAAAAAAGACAAAAATAAAAATCAGAGTAACTTGGATGTAATATTATAATTTTTTATAAAATATTTTATATACATATTGTAATAAACGAAAATGTTTTCAAAAAGAAAAACTTTAAAATATCAATTATTTTAACTGGAGAAAACTAGTGTAGGGCGTTAAAAGAATCACTCCGTATATTAATATTTTACTTAAATACTGTTGCACGACGAAGCCCTGCAAACGGGGCGGCATTTAACTGCGCAGTACTGTCAAGTACAACAATATGTGTATGACCCGTGTGACTTGCCGGGCTAACGGACGACCGTCGTTTGTTGACAACACCGAAAGCTTTTAACGTCGTCTAATTTAAATAATAACACAATATAATGTTTTTTATAAAATATTTTTTACGCGTTACAATATCATTTTTCTAATATATATTTTGAGGCTTCAACAACTGTGGTTATTAGCCAAGCACACATATCTAGTCTTAAGGACTAAGTGATATTAAGTTTTTACAAAAGGAAAAAGTCCTTAGACTTTATAGGCTATTTACAATATTTATTTCAGTTAGAAAATCATTTATTTTAGTGCTGACATTGAGAGGCTTCTTTGAAATTGTTCCGTGTGGACATGTTATTTAAAAATATTATCATTGTTACATTATTAGATACGATACAAATGTTATATAAATTAAACATTGGACATATTGTTGATAAGATAAAAACACATACCCAATTATGTTCTGTCTCTCTCACATATACACACCTCGAAACCAAACAATTTCACATGATTACGCAGTCCATATTTTACTAAATAGATGTTTGGACGATACCAATTATGCCGTTGGTCGATAATGTATTTTCGTTTGGCTATTAATTTCTGATTGTTAGAAAGATGAAAAATATCAAAATAATAACATTTTTTTTGTTTTTACAGATATTTCTGTTATATGGAGGAAGTGCAGAGACGTTGTCCGTTCGGTTAAGAGGCATGACCGGATCGTTGCGACTGAGCGCGTTGCTGTTGCTGCTGTTGTCCCGTTGGGCGTCTGCGGACCTCGAAAAGGGCGAGAACGAGTTCGTCCGCAGCTGGGTGATCATCGAGGAACAGCTGGTGCCGCCGTCCCGGGACGAGCTGTTGGCGTCCGGCGTCGGTGTCGGCGCGGGCGGCGGTCGCCGGATCACGCCCAAGTCGGTGTTCGTCGCGCCGTCGTTCAACAAGTGCTCCGACGGGTACAGGCCGGACAGTATGGGCCGTTGCGTCAAGGTGGTCAAGCTCAACCCGACGGCCCAATGGGACTTCTTGCTCAAGCAGTTGAACTCCATGTACGGCGGAGGGCCGCCGATGGCCGCGGCCGTCACCGCGTTCCCGCCGCCTAGCACGACGGTCGAACCGCCGCAGCACAAGACGGAGAGCACGGGCCCGTTTCAACTCAACATACCGCTGTTCAATCAGACGATGGAACAGGAAGACACCGCGGTGGACACCTCAACGGCGGGCCCCGTGTCCAGCGCCGCGCCGCCGACTACCACCGTCGTTTCCGTTGTCCCGACTACCGTCCAACCACAGACCACTCTCCGGGAAACCGAGGACACCACGTTGTTCGACTTGTCCACTGTGGTGACGGCCGATTCAAAGACGAAGTAAGCAACGATGGCCGTCGGCTAGTTGAAACCCGTTTATATTAGTCTGTTAAATATATAAAATAATAATGTCTCTCGACAACAAGACGTTCCCAAAACGTTTGAACAATATCAAGATTTATATAGCCGTTCAGTTTATAGTTAAAAAATACAACAATTATTGGCTAAATTCTACTTGATTGTTAAGTCTATTGGCGAGATCGGACTTAGATAGATGTGAATCTTTTTGAGTTTCACCTGTTTTTTACGGTTTCTTCAACGAGCCGACCTCGAAAACCGATCAATAACCGCACATTTGGCTGTTTCTTAAAATATGCTTTTTGTGTTGGTTTTTACTTTCGGTTTGACTTTGAGTTTTTACACAGTCGCGGTACGATGATGATGATCTTGTGTCTTATTATCGAGGGTGCTCTTTTCTAATGCAAATACAAACCGGCATCTCTATTCGCATGCAAATCGTTTCCGTTGTTGTAGAGCCGAGGTCGTGTTTTGAAATAGTAAAAACCACTCCGACCGTCTAGCATAAAATTGTCGGTGTAAAATATGTTCTCGTGAGAAGGAAGCTACTAGCTAGATTTAAAACTTCACATTAGTCGTGTCGATCTTTGAATCGAGACGAGGAAACGCTGTTAATAAACTGTTGACGGTTAAAATTCATGAGGAATAATATGTACACTGTTATCAGCAAACAGGATGCCGAGTATTTTTCTAGGAGAATAGGTTTCGACGTTTATTTTATTTCAAACCGCCTTGATTCATTTGTTGTATTTTACACCATTAAGGGCGGCCAAGCCAAAGGATTTTCCTGTACCGGCCAATAAGAGCAGGGTTAGATCATAAATGTTTATTTTGTGCTCATCAATCACCTACTGTACATTATTATGCGCCCCGTCCGACCCAAATCCCTACTATCTCGCGATTATAATATATATACATGGTATAAAGTATAAACCTACCTTATTACCTGCTGCTAACCGAGTCCAATACCCTCGGTCGACCTCCGCACACATCCAAACTGAACAGACGATGATTTCGATCAATTCCTATTAACAACACGGTACAACCGAGTGTGGAAATTGTTGAGCTTACACAATTGTTTGCGACACGACGGCTGACCTTTGTCTTGATGTATCTTACAAAATTGTTTACAATGTTAGTCATTCGAAAGCATTTTTTCTTTTGAAAAGATCACACACCATCACGTTTTTACTCACACTTTCTTCGATATATATCTCTTATGTGTCACATTTAATCCCTCTCGATATAATATTTTTTTTTATCTTTTTCCATCACATGATGTTATCATGTTCCTCTATGCACTTGCATAACAATTTCAAATATTTAAGCTTTCAGTATCCTATTTAAAATTTGATTGAGACAGATATTTTAGCTAATTCTGAAAACAGACACTGACTGTTTTGCTATTTAAATTTTTATCAAACTGTTTTGATGGTTTTTTGACAGTTAAGTAGATAATGGTGTACTTATTTTTTTTTGTCGCAGAACCGTGGGGAGCAGGACGACCACAACGGACGAACCGCTGCAGACGACCACAACGACCTTTATGGACTCCGACACTGGCACGCCGCCAACGTCCACTGCTGTGACGACAGAAGAAGATGACGAGGGCATTGGTGGCACGGTCACGATGACGATGGTGGACGCGACGACGACGGCCAAAACGGTGCCGAAGAAGCCGACGACGACGGCCAAAGAGGTGCCGCAGAAGCCGATGACGACGACGTCGATGACACCCGCGACGAGAATCTGGACGACGACCACGACGGCGCAGCCCACCACCACCAGTACGACAACCGCGGCTGGTACGACGGAACCGCCAACCGAGTACTACGATGAGCCCATGGGACCGGATTGCACGGCACCGGATGCATACTACAGGTACGCGGAATGCGCGCCGCAGTATCAACCCGCACCTGAGATACAGGTGTTCGTCGCGCCGCCGCCGCCGTCCAAAAGACCAATGGCGTATCAGCCACCTTCGCAGCCCGTACAACCGGTGCAGCAAGTGGGCGCTGTCCGATTCCCGGACGACGAGGGTCGAGACGACGCGGACGTCGAAGCCGACTCGGCCACCGACCACACCATCAATCTGGTTAGGTTCCCGGACGGCGTGCCGTACAGGACCACTAACAAGATGTACGAGAGCAGCAGACATCCGACGTGGTGGCCGACCGGGTGGGAACAGCAGCAGCAGCAACAACAACAGCTACAGCAGCAGCAACAACAGCTACAACAGCAACAACAACAGCAACAACAACAGCTCCAACTGCAACAACAACAGCAGCAGCAGCGAAGGGACGACGTGGCACGCAACGAGGGTGTCCGATTATGGGAATTCGGGTCCAGACTGCCCAAGACCACTACTGAGGCGACACCGTGGTTCCACAGGTTCTTCCAGTAAATTTAAATACATTTATTTTTATATAACCAATGTGTTTTTTTTTCTAATGAAATTAATCAATATTATATAAATTTTATTAATGTTTTTTTTTACTCAGTATTTCGGCGTTAGCTTGTATATGCGTTAGGTACGGTTAATTATTATTATTATTGTATGTTTTTTTTTGTTGCCATAATATATAACGTCCGTAGAATAACCATTTTTTTTTTTATTAAAGTCACGAGTGTTTTATTTATTGTGTGTGTTTTTTGGTAGTAAATCAATCTTTTTATTGAAAAGGAATAGGAGTGCAAATATTTAATATTAACTTTTGAGCGATTTAAGCCTTAACGGTGTTTTTTTTTATATTATATAATTTGTTTTGCCTCTAACAACACATTAACCGCCGTACTGCTACTATTATTATTATGATTACTTATTATCGTTTATTACTTATACTGTTTGTTTTTTTTTTTTAATTCATGAAGTTGTAAATATCGTTAAGCGTGTTCCTATTATAAGAGATCACGGCTTCTAGTTAATGAAATAGCTGATGCCGCTCGACGTATTAGTGTAAATATATATTTAATATTATTATTATTATTATTATTATTATTATCACGTGTACAGCGAACCATTTCGAATGTTATATATACATATATTATTATACCTATACAATACCATTGATTTAATCATTCACGCACAAATACAAAATATTATACAAGGACATCATCGTACATATTAATATATTATGTTGTATGTTTATTATAATAATCAACGTCAGTTATATTGTAACTTCCTTTACCCAATTCGAAATGATCATCTATAATGTTATAAATAATTATCGAAATTATGCCGCTGTTATTATTAGATCATTTTATTTGTAGAAGACGTCCGAAACGGATCGACATAATAATATTATTCAATTATTGTCGTGCCCGGCCTGTGTGCGTTTCAACAACACAATCATTTTTAATATGTTATTATTATTATGGTCATTACTTTTTTTTTTATGAACATTTAAAGTATTATATAATGACATTATATTCACTTTAGCATACCATTATAGTTGTATCTGAAAACTATATTGAACAATTATCCGGGACAGTACAACATCATTAATTGTATATTATAATAAATAATTATACAAATATAATACCTACAATTTTATAAATATAAAAAAAAAAAATAATGACTATACACAGATTATATACACATATAATATATGAACATTTTTAGCCGTGTCTCGTTTATATTATATTGTATTGTGCATTTTTGTTTTCTAATATCATTCAATGAAAAATATACAATGGAAGACGTTTGTTTATTGGATATTATCTTGTGTGTGTGTATATTTCCACGTCTGTCGGTATTGACAAAATGAGTAGAACCCAACAATTTGATTCGCGTTTTGTAGCGCCTCGCATAGGTCGGGCGTAAAATATAGGCAACCACATTGGCTTGGTGGAAGTTAATGTAAGTGTTGAGTTGTTGTTCAATTGTTTGCTTCACCAATCGCTTAAATAAATGTGTTACATTCAAGATATTTATAAATATTAATTATATTTTATATACTTTAAATACGGATCTTAGTTAGCTATTGTGCTAAAGGTCTTTTGAATCGAATAGCTCGGTTTTAATTAATATTCAATCGATAAACACAGATTAGTATAGTGCATTGAATTCGATTGTACTTTTTGGATTTTACACATTGTGTTTAAGAAACCCGGTTTGAAACGTTTTGTGTTCTTAGACTGCCCCTTATGTATTCATTTCTTACTCTATCTTCCTAGTCACTCCACTCATCCATCTTAACATTCTCATCTCCGCTACACTCATTCTCTGTTTCGTTATCTTATCTACTGCCCAACATTCCGACAGGGATGAGCAGGCATGAAAGCCGCGTCGCAGGCTTGAAATGTTGTCGAATAATTGTCGAACCTATCGTCAAGCCATATGGCATACAAGTAAAATATCCACATTATGGTGTGACAAAAGCTCGCCGATTTAACGACAAAATAATGTACGCGTATTTAAAGTTAAACTTTCTTTAACAATAAGTTTATTTTTCACTTGAATATAACTAGAGAATATTAATGGTGTGGATGTGTTTTCTTTGTTTGTGAATATTCCAAGGCTATAACAAATAGTTGACAATTTTATCCGAAACAGACACACTAGTTTACGATTTGTGCACACAAATGTTTTGATATATTCCGTTCTACTGCTGCTTTCGACTATCTTAAAACAAATATTTAAATCCGTATTTGTACATACGTCGAACCAACGCAACGTCAAAAGAACGTGCGAACTTGTCAAAATTCAAATTTCTGTTACTTATTTGAAATACATAATATATTTATAGCGTTTTCAGTTTATAAAATGATCGCGTTCAAATTTTGTTTTTTTGTGTAAGCACTCAATATCACTACACCATTTTATAGTAAAAAAAAAAACACTTAGCAACACTTACCTTAACTTCCGTCACGCCTTTGCGGTTACCTATATGTTACCCCTAATCTACATAATATGCAAGACGTTACAATAACCAAACAAAGTCGTTGGGTACTAAACATTTTATCAATACTGACAGGCGTGGGCGTCCGAATGAAAAATATACACATACACGCCTTAATATCAGATAAGAAACGTGTCGTTCCATTGTATATTTTTCATTGAATGATATTAGAAAAAAAATTCACAAAAATTACAAAACTTTATACTAAATAAAAAAAGGCTAAAAATATGTATACATGTTACATAAAAAGTCGTTCTTGAAAAAGTAACTAATTTTATGATTGCCTTCCTTAACAACGCTGATAATTAACTAAACAACAAACATTTACAACAACGTGAATGATAACTTCTGTTTATTGAATAATCTTCCAAAATACACTATTCGACGAATGAAAGAATGCCAGTTTTAAAAGGTTATTACTTATTATACTCAGAAAAATTGTTTTACCATTTAGTACAATTAAAAGTTGTCAATAAAACAAAATGTATTTAGTTCCAATATTATTTCATTAATCTTTACTTGATGCACAGGTGATAATTAATCATAAACTAGCACTAGTGAATTTTATTTTTTTCACAACACGATTATAGCTGGCTTTGGCCGTTTTCCAACATCAATAAACGCAGGAGCTCGTCAGTATCGTAAATATTAGAAAGGTCCCTAATGATTTTGAAATCAATATCTTGCAATTTCAGTTTTACATATTCTACAAAGACTATAGCTCTATAAACACTTTCGGGCATCTCGCTAATGTCTTTATTAATGACCAATTCGATTGTGCTTACAATGGTTTCTATGTTATCATTCATTTGTTTTCTTTCTGTCTGCTCATCCTGCGGTATTTTTTCTGTAAAACTGATGAGTAAATTCGATAAAAAACCTTTAGCTATATCATCTAGTATGCCGAGTAAGTCATCTACTCCTTTTACGAGAATGTTTTTAAAATAATTTCGAACATTTAGTTGATTTTTAAATAGACCAACAAGTTTTTTCATGTGCCCGTCGTCGTGCAAATCTAAGAATTCCATGAAGTTTTTTAAAATCTTTAACATGTCTTCATTGTACAATCGTCGACGGTAGGCATGTGGGTTTTTCTCCGAGTCTAAAATATAATACCAAATTATTCTCACCATGATCACTTTTAACATTTGTATGAAATTGTGTTGAAGTTTGCTCAACTCGTTTACCGTGTCGGCCAAAGGTAAGGTCCGTTGAACGCACACTGCATAGAAACTCTTTTCCAGAGTGTGACTCAAAACCACCCGGGGTTTCATCATTCCGAATTTCTCCTGTAAATCCTTCATGACCAGCGTATTCGACACGATATTGTTCAAACAGAGTTGTTCCATACCACAACTTTTCCAGCCCGCTAACGACATTAGACGGTTCTGCTCATATTTCTTCAACTGAGTGGATAACAGTTGTTTGTATCCATATGGGATGGCTTGCAGCGACACTTGAATATCGTCTGTACTTAATTCTCGTTCGGCGGGCATCGATGTCATCGATTCCAGATTAACGACTTTATCCAATATCTCTGAACAGCCTTCCAAATAGATTGCACGTTTCAATAGTTCACAAAGCGCACGGTTGGCAGGCATGAAAACCGCGTTGGAGATATAAAATTCATCCGTTTTAGCACTGACGAATCTATCGTCGATCCATTGGGCATACACGTGAAACATCCACATTAAATCCTTGACAGAGCTCAGCTCGACCGTATTCACCGAAGTGGCTACCATTCTGGACGATTCCGACACAACAGAACCCAAGTTGTACTTCGAAACCAACTGTTTAAAATCTTCAATACGATACGATAACGACCACATACCTCTTACTGTGTTCAAGTAAGTCAGACACGCCAACACGTAGCTACACCTGACGTTTTTGTATTCTCTCTCCAACAATGTTCTCAACTCGTCCACATTCATTTTTTTGATTTTGGCTTCCTGTATGGGATTGTTTTTCACGAATACAGCACCTATTTCTTGAAATTTTGTCAGTTTCCTAATTAACATAACTTTATTTTCGTCTTCCGTGCACGCAGCAAGGTCTACCAGTGTAAAAAATGTCAGTACCGATAATAGCAGTACCGTTTTACTCGCCACCGTCATCTTGTTGAACCACTTAGACCGCATGATTTTTTGAAATAATTATTCTGTTTATTCGACTGTTTACAAACTGCAAGAATATTGCTTCCTAAGAGGCGGATAGGAAATACTGAGTTTTAAAACAACCGCTGACACACCATCTACTTTGACTGCGAAGAAACTTATAAATCAATAAAAACAAAAGAACTAAATCAATATTTATTTTTAAAAAAAAATGTGTCAATCGTTCATCTGTTCCATTTAATGTTTACGGCAAAACATGAGTACTACAATAGAGACTTAACTTTTAGTAAAAAAATTGTGATTATTTTTGTTGTATATTTAATACAAATTTATCATGTGTAATTAATACATTTTTTTTTAGCCAGGGGATGGTGTCTTGACACCGTGGACACCCCCCAAAATACGTCACTGTCCTACAAATTATTAAAAAATAAAACATACGTTTCCTACATAACATAGAAAAGTTGCCAAAGAACTAGTATGTGTTTACAGAATTGAAATCGGATCATCTTAAGTAATCGAAATTTGTTCTGAATTTTTGGTGCAACACTTCAACACAACACTCCGCATGCAATTCCTTTAAACCCTATGAGATATTGAGTGGTTCACGATAAAATGATCACTCTGTATACGTTTTAAAGTAAAATATTCAGTTGGTTTTTGTTCGTTATTATTATTTTTTCATAATACATAAGCCAAAGCTGTTCAAAAAATTGTTTACGGTTTCTAAAAAACTTATTATTGTAATAGGGTCACACCAGATGTGAATTTTAACGTTTAAGTTTGCTCGCATGATAGTACCACATTGTTACAAATATAAATTATGGCGAATACAAATTTTGTGTAAAATAAATCCAAAAATAATGCTTAAGCAAATGTTTTTTCACCTACGTATGTAGTACGTATTCTGATTACCACATTTTTTTTTATTATTGTGTTCTAATTTTCCGTTCTCTTAATATATTAATTTAATCAAATCAAATCAGGTTTAATATTAAGAAAAAATAATTATAAATGTTTACGTTAGGACAATTTTGTTAGAATAATATTGTATCCTAATATACAAAATAGTTATTTGCTATAATCATAGGAGCT